CCCCCCCCCCCCCCGATCAAATAACCGCAGACTTGGCTAGCATAAGAGACTTGTTTCAAAAATTTAAAAAATATATATTTACCAACCTAAAACTTTTGAATGATAGTAGACACAGTATTTTAGTATTTGTTTGAATGTTTTTGTGTCACCCGGTAATATTATCTGAGTAATTTTATCTATGTTAGCGTTGTAGTTTAAAACACAGATGCTGGTTTCCCAAAAGTTATTTGAGTTCAGTGTGTTATTGTTTGCAAAGCTAGCATGAGCTGAAGGGTATCTGTACAGTATGGCTTCAGGGCTTTCTTTGCACATAAAATGCTTGTTCACTTATTAAACATATCACAAAAGAGTTTTCTTAAGGCGTGCAAAACATGAAATATGACTCCTTTAGACACTAAATCTTAGAGACATAAGTGACCCAGTGTAAAAGGTCACAGAACCTAGAATCCTGCAGCAGAACCAGAATAAATTGTATGGCCATTGATCCCCATCGCTGTGCCCTTGAGCGAGATCTTCTCACCTGTAGTTGCTCCTGGGGTTTGCTATTGTGACAACTTTTTCACTTCACTTTCCTTTCCCCTTGGCATTGTCAAGAAATAAATATTTTCTCTGTGTATTTTCCCTGTATAATGTTAAACACGACAGCATTCCAAGTTTCAAGTTCCTTTTCATATATTCATGGTGAACCTGTGGATATAAAAGAGTGTTTTTATTCTTTCCGACTGACATGCAGAAATATGACACCCTCGCTGAGGACCATTCTGACTGTCTGCATCCCAACCATTATGAACACTCAGCAGCAATGCTTAAAATACCAAAGTGTGTCACTCGCAAATAAAGTCTATCAGTCTCACTCTAATTTTGCAACCAGGATGTTCCAAAAGGCATGCACGCACTCGGTGACATTGGTCTTCACAGCTGTAAACACAACAGTGTCACACTCTCCTTTTAAACACATTCACAAGCTGAAATCTGAGCCCTATGGTCCTATTCCCCCAGCACCCCATGACCAATGGCATCGGTCGGGACCAGCCTGCTCAGCACGGGTCCAGAGTTTATGGCGTGGTGCAGAGCACAGGCACCAGCCACCAACAGGAAGTGATGGCACGTGAGTCGTCTGTCAGTCACCTGAGGGATGAGATGAGGTACATCAGAGAGGTAAGCGCAGAGACTTTTCTTTTGCTACCTAGCTAACTGTAACTTGCAACTAGAAGACTAGTTCTTGCTTAACTAGTTAGCAGATACTTGATGCTATTCAGCAAGCAGATAACTTAAAACCATCCTTCTTTTCTCAAAGGTACGTGACTCTTTGGAAAAAGTCAGAGAGCGGATGTATGGCCAGTTTGGAGGGATGCAACAATCAGTGCAAAAATTAACTCAGGAATTAAAGGTGAGCAAAACACAGCATGACAAATGTTTAAGGAAGGAATAATGGACCAGTCACCCTGACCATCCTGTTGGGTTTTATTATGAAATAATGACAGGCTGACTGACATTGCATATTACACAGCTATTCATCAAAAAAAAAATTATATTAAAAAATACTGATCTGAAATTATTTTCTAATTTAAAATAAATAAAACAAATTCTACAAAATAAAAATGTACTAATAATAATTACAAAAATAAATTTACCCCCGGTTTCACAGACAAGACTTAAGCTAATCCCAGACTAAAATGCATGTTTGAGCTGTCTCTACTGAAAATATCTTGCTCTGACATATCTTAAAATATGTCAGTGTCATTGTTCTGTGTCAAGATGCACACCTGTAATGTTTTCTTCTAAGGCATTTTTGTGAAAGTTGCTTAAATATCTTAATTTAACTAAAGCCTAGTCCTGGCTTAAGCTAAACCCCGTTTGTGAAACCAGGCCTTAGAATTTAGCTCAGAGATAAGACAAACCCTGCAAATTATTACAGTAATATTAATACTGAAGTGCTCTGAGTAAACTACATGACTTTTGCACAAATGACTTTGGCCTGATTTGCAGTCTGGAGGAGTAAGTGCTCTCCTAGTAACGAGGTACACGTTTTGTGTAATTTTGTTGGCAGTTGTGTTTGTATAAAACAAGAGAGAGCAAGTCCATGGAGTGATACAAGAGACATGAAAGCAGGGCCTTATTTCAGGAACCTGGTTGTTGCAGTTAACCAATCAGTTTTCCATAGAGCTGTGTAATAATACCTACAAATATTATCTACCACAAAACCTTACCCTGTCAGGCTTAATAAAAAATACATTTTACAGTGGTATGACAAGTTCTCAATGTGCTGACTGTGTTTGTTCCAGGCAGCCAACTCTCATAAGCGTTACCTTGAGTCAGAGGTGAGGACGAGAAGGGTAGCTATGGAGAGCTTTGACCACATGAACAGCTCCCTCATATCAGCAAACATTGATCTACAGGTACACAATCAATGTGGTCACTGCCAACTGACAAAGGCTTGTTCTGTTCAGAAAAACTCTTGACATTGTTTTTGTAGTCAGCATGCTTAGACTGGTCAACATTTAAATGTCACAAGTGAAAAATGTTTACTGCCAGCATACGCATGCTTTTAGAAAGTACCTTTATATTTGTCCATATGATTAATATAATGCTTATGTGCTGCTGCTGCTGTTGATGATGGCTGTTTTAGAAATCATTGCTGGAAAGCTGTCAGAATCGTGTGGGGAACAGAGATGAGAAGAAAGCTGTGCGCAGCTCGTTGGAGAAGACAGAGGAAAAACTCAAGGAAATGGAAAGACAGCTAGCAGCAGCACAGGCCACAAACCAGTCTCTCAAAAATCAGGTGCACACACAAACACATATTACACAGCACTTTTATTATTATGCAGACCCTTCATGTTACAGACATCCTAATACCATGGTACTTTGTTCCTTTTTGTTAGTGAAACATTACTCTTTAAATACAGAGAAACATTTCATGGTAGATAACAGAGATCTAACACATATTGGCTAGTAAGCATGGACACAATTTACAACAGGAATCTTGTGGTGACAGCAGTGTCCTGTGGTGTGACATGCTACACTTCATCTAAAAATGTTTTTTATGTTCTTATTTTTAATTTTTTCAAATGATTGTATATAAAGTTTTTCAACCTCACATTGAGAGATGACACTATTAAAAATGAAGGTTATTTATTGGTGTCTATGGTTCCATGAAGAACTTTTAATGCACAAAAAGGTTCTTTATAGTGAAAAAAGGTTCTTTAGACTACTATAATGTTCTTCACACTAAGAAAAAAATGGGTTCACTGAAAGGGTCTTTGAGGAAGCCAGCATTGCTGTGAAAACCTTATTTCTTTGAAACCTTTATTTTTAAGTGTGTACTGTACATGGAATATTTGTATTTAAAAGTTAAAAATTTCAATTTTTTACATAAATAGCATGGTTATTAACATGTGACAACTAAATAGCTTTTTGTATGTAGGTGGAGACTTCTCAGGAAGCCAAGACTCAAGCTTTGAAAGAGTTGAGCGCTCAGCTACAGAGGGAATATGAGGAACAGCTGCAAGAACAGCAGAGGAAGTACAGAGAGGAGATAGAGGCTCTGCAGGTACAGATATAACCAAACAAACAGACACTCACAATGCCTCACTGTCCAACTAGTTCAACGAGAGCTGCACTGCATGCTAATGTGACAAATGCATTCGCTTTAATGTGTGTGACTTTTGAAAGATTGTAATACCTACAGACACACTGTAAAAAGACTACATTTGTATTATACTTCACAAGCAGGGCGTAAGGATTCCAATCTCATAACAGGAAACATCTGTAGTTATTCACCAGGGAAGAGAGAAAAATTTTGAATTTTTTTTTTCTAAGTAAGGGTGCCACCTAGTGGTAAAGGTGAAGATTTCAGAGAGAATGGTGATGAAGACTGATGAACAGAGGCAAATAAATGACTGTAGTTCTGACCTTTATGTCCGCAGGCACAGCTTGATGACTACATGAGGAGGCTTGAGGAGGCGGAGAGGAATGCTCAGATAGCTGAGGCAAAGATTGCTGAAAGAGATCAAAGAATTACTGAGGTGGAGAGGCTACTAAACTGTATGGCTCAGGTAAATAATATCAGTTGTTGACTCAGCCTTTGCCTGTTACCCCTGAAAAAAAAAACTTTTTATACAGCACTTCTCTCTTTATAACAGGAGAAGGGTGACCTGATAAAAAAGCTTTGTGAATGTGAACAACGCTTACATGGTTTGGACCAAATTGACCATGCAGACAAAGCTGTGGCCAAACAGTAAGACATTTAATGTATACCTACACTATACTAAGTTTGCATCTGAAACCAGTGGTGATGTCATATTTCCTTAATTCAGGATGGTTTCAGTGGACAGTTTAAGATCTATAATAACCAGATACCATAACTGTAATAAGTATAAGTAGGGCAAAGAAATATAATGCATGATTTCTGCGATTAATATTTGCTTTTTAATGCGTTAAAATAAACTCAGATAACCAGAATTGATTTCCCCCTATTTTTTGAAGAAGCTATGTTACTTGAGCATGTCTTACATGTTCCTTACATCCTTGATACCTGATTGACAGGGACAAAAACATCACCAAACGCACTGTATGAAAAGCATGGCTAAATGTCACATTTATTATAATGGGTTTGCGTGAATATTGTTTAAGGTTCACTTAAATGAAAAGTAGTTATAATATTTTCAATGTTATGTAATAGTTAATAATTGATAAATAAGAACTAGTCTAATCATTTGTAGTTTAGCCCTGGCCTTCAGTTATACTGTAATGGTGAATGGCTATAATTACTGGTTTTATTCCCAGAAAAAAATGAATCAGTACTGACATCAGTGATACTGGCCTTCATTTATAGTATTTAGTGTAAAAAATATTGTTTTAAAATACTGTCTTTATGTTGTTTCTACATTCATTTGGAGATTCAGTGTGAAAATACATTTATGTTTATACATTTTTATGTTATCACGATTAATTGCAGAAATCTTATTTTTAGGTTAGTTTGTTTGGGGGTTTTTTTTCTCTTCAGAATGTTTTCATTTTGTCTCCTCAGAAAAAAAAAACTCGCAATAATACTCTTGGCCAATAATACTGAACAATACCCAATAATACTGGGCTGTATTTTAGTATTTTATTGCGTATGTTATATCACTCCTAAGCAACATGTTCTTTCTCAGGTCTGAGCAGCTGAAAGATGAAGCAGCAGAACTGAGAGAGCGAATAAAGCATCTCAACGACATGGTGTTCTCTCAACAGAGGAAGGTCAAGGCCATGATAGAGGAGGTGAGGATTTACAGATAGACTGTTCGTTCTGTTAATACAGAGTATACTATGTACACAAAATGAATCCAAAACAAACATTTCCTTTCAAGAAATCATGACACCATTATTGTAATTCAATCTTTTTAATTATAAAACAAACAAACAATTCTGCAGGTTGAAACATTGAGAGCAAAAGTTGCACAGAAGGATATGTTCATTTCTGAGCTGCTGGACAGGATTGCCATAGTGGAATGTGAGGTAAGAGCAACTGTTTCCATGTAACAAGATGTGATTTTTGCATGCCCCTCGTCTTTACCAATCTAGAAAGGCACAGCTTGGTTGGAATAAGAATCCTGAATGTGACTATTCTTGAATTCATTGCTGTTCTGTCAGCTGGGCTCTTTTGAGTCCTTTTGGTTGTCATTCAGATTTCTCACACATCTAAACCGAATCAGTCTTTGTCCAGTGTCCTCTTTATGTCTGTGAAATTAATTCTCTACTTAATTTCCCATGCCTATGGTCTGACTCTGTCCTTTGCTTTGCTTCTTTTCCTAGAATAATGAGTTAGGAGACAAGTTGAAGTATTTTATGTCTATACAGAGAGCATCTGAGACTAAAGTAGCCACCCGGGACATTGGAGTTGGCTGTGACCTCCCCATTAGGTAATGAGCACAAGATCACCTTGCCATAAGAAATTTAAAACTGCTTTCAAGGCCACACCTTTACTCACATGCTCTCCCTGTGTGCATAGATCTGAGGAGCTGCCGGATGTCACTCCTGTCCAACCCAGCCCCATCTCATCAGCCCCAAGATCCTCTAGCAGACTGAACTATAGTCTTCTTAAATACACTCCTGGTCAGTACAGCACAATGCTGCGCTCCAGTGTAGTACATACACAAGAAACTGCAACCAGTCCCACACAAACGGCACCTCTGTCTTCAAGTTATGTTCAGACCAGCCATGAAGACGAGGACTCCAAATCTCCAACAGGCTCAGAACTGTCCTCTACCACCAGTCCTAGAGCAAGAACCAGCCCGTCACAGATCTACACTCCTTTTATGAAGCTGATGGAGATGAGCTCTAAAATGAACATTGACTGAATAAAGTTTTACTGAAATGGCAGTGGCAGAAGCTTATGGGACATGAAGTATTGTTGTATGTAACATTACAGTACAGTATATATAAATAACCTACTGATCTGTGAATAACTTTTTTTGGTAGTATATATTGATGCACTCTATTTTGCTTTGTTTACCAAAAAAATAGTGATTTTATGTGACAGCTTTCTATATTTTACAATTATCTATTTATATTTCCATTTTCTGAGACCATATTTCCATTTTCTGAGACCATATTTAAATTATTTTCTAAAGTGTATTACGCCAAATATTATTTTGTTATATAAAAAAACTCAATAATAGGCTCTATATATGAGGGGTTTCTTTAAAGAAAAGGAATGATGGTAGCTATCAGTTGTGATCAAAGCTCAGTACTGGTGTACTGTTTTTTTTTTTTTGCTTCAATGTGTATTGTATTTAAATGTTTTTTTTTTTTTCATTTGTACTAAGAGAGTTGTAGACATTAGTGGTCTCACTCTCTGTTGCACTTTTTCCCCTGGGGTTACTGATGCAAAGACTCCAATTCACCTGATTTTGACGACTCGAAACATTCAGAATGCCAGTTTAAAAAAAGCATTGGTTATAGACCCCCATTGTTGTAGACCAGAGTGCATTACCCATGCACAGACTGTTGAGAGGAAGCAGGCCCCTGTGGATTGTTCGATGTGTTAATGTGTTCATGCACTTTTCTGAAGACTCAGTTCAGTTGCCAAAATCACATCATCTTTTATGATGACTGCAAATGAAGGTTTATAGACTACATTTGGTATTAATATTTTTCACTCACTGAGCACTATATTTACACATTACTGGGTATATTGTTCAATAAATAAAATGTCAAAGCCTACAACTTGGTGGATTTTTTTAACAAAGGTTATTTGGGATTTTTAAAATCTTTATATTGGTTAGCTAGGCATGTGCATCCAAATTATCTCTAGTTGTCTCAGACTTTACTGAGTGGAAACTGAAAAATAAAAAAAGTTTTAAGGCGTAGTAAAATAGTAAATACTGGTGCAGATTTCATGGTGTTGTAGGCAGATTCTGTTCCGTGTCGAGAAACCAAACTGAATAATGGAGCTCTCTATGGGAGAACATGCTTCATTGCAGCAGCAGCAGCAGGTGGGGAGACATGTGGAGTGGGTGCTGCTGAATGTGCATGAAACATCATTGTCACTGCTAAGGAAAGGAGATATATCCATCTGCAGACCCGCAGCACCAGAGCGAAAGACCCATCACACGAATGTCATTTTGTGTTAAATGATTAAAATAATAAAAAAAATCTAATTACTTTAATGTAAAATGTATTTTTGTAAGATCCTGGGACATACGCTTATTATTTATTATTCTTAGTTCTGAATCAGTCAATATTATTTTCAAAAATCGGTTGTGTTTATCACACTGCAAGAGTCCGCACGCGCCGCTCCCGTTGATTGTTGTCGTCATGACAACCTAACATTAGGAAGAACTCCACTAGAGCGTCATCGGTGAGCGGTTTTGTTTATGATATTGTTATTATTAATTCAGATCACTGTTGTGTTACAGTAAGATTATATATTAAGTATTCACAAAAATATCTCAATGACCACCTAAATAATCAGATTTCAGAATCAGAATCAGAATTAGCGTCATTGCCAGGTATGTTTTCACATACGAGGATTTTGTTTTCGTGACAGAAGCTTCCGCAGTGCAACAGAATGACAGCGACAGAACAAAAACACAGATAATAAAAGAAGAATAAAAAAATAAAAAATAGAACAAGTAAATAAGGAATAACAATATATAAATTGACAATTGTATGTGCAGGTATATTACAATAGACAGTTTTGTATGTAACGTTACAGGTATATTATGTGCAAATTTGAGGTGTAGACTAAGTATGTGTGATAAATAAGTGTATGAGTGTATGAATAGGGTTGTGTGTTCCACAGTTATTGTCAAGTGTTCATGAGATGGGTTGCCTGAGGGAAGAAACTGTTCCTGTGTCTGGCCGTTCTGGTGCTCAGAGCTCTGTAGCGTCAACCAGATGGCAACAGTTCAAAGAGGGAGTGTGCTGGATGTGTGGGGTCCAGAGTGATTTTGCCAGCCCTTTTGCTCACTCTGGATGAGTACAATTCTTGAAGAGAAGGGAGGGATGTACCAATGATTCGCTCAGCAGTCCGGACTACCCTCTGTAGTCTTCTGAGGTCAGATTTGGTAGCTGAGCTGAACCAGACAGTTATTGAAGTGCAGAGGATGGA